ACTGGGATGGGGCTCCTGGCTTCTGACTGGCCCAGCTCTGGCCGAGTTGACCATCCAGGGAGTAGACCAACAGATGGGAAATCTCTGTCCTACTAACTATGCTTTTTAAATAAAAATGAATATTTAAAAAAAACCACACCCCACAAATTGACCGGTGCCCTTGTGCTGGATACAAAAAGGAAATCCTGTGAGTGTGAGCAGTCTGAGATCTGTTTGGAGAGGCAGTGATTGTCTGCTGGTCGTGGGGCTCCAGTGCATAGAACTTCACACCCAGGCTTGCTCCTACATGTCTGTCGAGTGGATCAATAAACATTGCACCCATTCCAGAGGGTTACTGCAGAGCTGAGGAGGGGGTGGGACCCCGTTTGGCAGTGCCTTCACAGTGCCTCCTGTGAAGTGGTTGGCAGAGCTTGCTGCCCCAACTGGACGATGGTGAGGCACCAGAAGGCTGAGTGTTTGGGTTGCTTGGGGAGCAGCAGGAGTCAGTGAACTGGAAGTCGTTGTTGCCCTTACTGTGATGACCTGGTCCGTGATGCTCGCTCATAGGAAGCGAAGTGTGGCCTGTAGAACCAAGACGATTGTGTGTGTTCCCAAAGTCTGACAAGAGGGCCTAAAGCACCATCTTCCGTGTGGCATAACTGGGCAGGAACAGCTTCGATATGCAAAGCAGGAATGGAAACATTTGTTTCCTAAGCCTCTAAATCTCGCTCTGTGGTAACCCTAACACCCTAGTTATAAACTTCACAAGGAGGATGTTTCGACTATAAATAGAAGCAGATGTTTAATTGTGGAGATAAGCATGAGTTGACCGGAATATTGGTGTAAAAGGTGTGAGACACACCATGTATTTGTTTGAAGGGAGGGCGCTGTGGCTGAAAGTCATCGATTCTGCTCTGTGTGGTGGACAGTGTGCGGGAGGGAGGACGTGGGTGACCAGCCGGGGTCTGCTGTGCAACGCGCATCCAGCGCACCTGTGTGTGGCTAGATCTAGGCATCCAGGCCTGTCTTCATTAACAGAGGGCTCATTTCCAGGTCGCGCTTTCTTCCTATCATTATGCCACAGATGAAAACTAGTTTTGTTATTGAGTAATAAAGCACAGTTGGAAGTACAGACCTGTTGTGTCTGGGAAAAAAAAATGTCCTAGAATTTAACACATTCTGAAATAAGTTGTGACGTGTTAGAGAGGGAACTTCTCCATGAAGCAATTTGTGGTCCACTGGTCTTTCTATGGCTACTTCCCTAATACCTTTGATGTGAATGTTTTTGGTGTGTGGGGTGGGGGAGGAGGGAGGAAGCCCAAATGCTAAACAGCCATGGTTCCCATCCATTCCCACTGTTGCCCTTGAAACCAAAGCAAACACGACAGTAACACCACAACCCACAGCTGCGAGTAGCAACAAAAACCCAATCAAACAAATTTGGGAAAGTATGTGGGATTTGAGCTGTTGCTTGGGTGAAGAGGTCAGTCACGTGGTCATGTTTTTTGTTTTGAAACCCAAGATAAAGTGTGACCAAAACGTGTATCTGCCTGTGTCACAGTTTGCACTCGCGGTGTTAAACAGGCAGTGGTCTACGTAGACGTCGCCGGAGGGGTCCTCGTCTGGCCTCACGGTGATCTCCACACTGCGGGGAAGTGTTTCCAGGGACCAAGGTTACCGACAGATGAGGAATCGTGGAGTGATGGGTTGTGGCAGTCCTCAGAAACCCCAGTGGGTGTCATGGTCACTGAGGGGTTGTTGGGTCTGGAGCCTGCTGGGGAGTTGGTGCTTCCGGGTTTAGGTAATGCTGTGCAAGGCTCATGCCGAGAGGATCACGGGACTGTAGAAATAAGGAAAGATGACCTGATCTTTGAGAACCATTGGTTAGATCTTCTCTCCTGAAGCTCTTTGGTCCTTAGAATTCTTTGCTGGGCTTTGTTTTGTTTTAAGATTTGTTTATTTGAAAGGGAGAGAGATATGATGGACATCTTAGACTTTCTGGTTTGTTCCCTAGGTGGCCTCAATAGCTGAGACTGGGCCAGGCCAAATTCAGTGTCTCTGCTCTGGGTCTCTCACGTGTTTGCAGAGGCCCAAGTACGTGAGCCATCGTCTGCTGTTGCCAGGCACATTAACAGGGAGCCAGATCGCAAGTTGAGCAACTGGAATTCATACTGGCACACTGATATGGGATGCTGGCCTTGCCTGAATTGCTGTACTGCAAGGGCAGTAGCCTCTTGGTGTATTATTTTCAAGCCCCCTTTCAACTTATGGGGCCTGTCATGTTCTGATTTCTCTAATATTAAGTATATTTTTAAAAACCTGTATGGCAAACTGAGTGTTAAAAAGTTTAAAATGGATTAAATTTGTTTGGAGAATTTTTTGAGAATTCCATACATATTTCCAAAAATGTTGGGTCAGTTAAGACTCAGATTGCATTTTCATACTTTAATTAATTCGAGCAGAAGTCCTCAGCTGTAAGTATGTTGTCTATTTCTGCTATTGTGGGAAAAGGCTGTAAACTCAGCTGTAAAATGGAGCCAAGTGCCTCCTCAGTGTGTTAAGACGCAGCCGCAGACTGCGATGTAGCACGCGGTAGCATCGCAAGCTCACTGAGCTGTTTCTCTAGTGTAAAAGCCCTGGGTTGGGGTCCACAGCAGACTGAGGGCCCAAGGTGAACGTCCTCCGAGCAGGACGGACGCAGGACGGCCAATGAGCAGGTCGGCAGCCATTGTTCTCTTTGAGAAACAGGGCTACTTCGGCACTGTCCCTGGATGAGGGGCTGTGAGGCTGGAAGCTGGGGGAGGCGGGGGTGCCGGAAGACTGTCCTAACACAGTCCTGGCCTAGCGCACACACATTGTCACTTAGGGTGTACCTATGTGAGGGGTCCCGCGGAAGCTTTGCCAAGGAGGCAGGTGGGCGTCTGGGAATGGGCAGGTTAAACCAGACTTCAGTGCCGTGTCAGATGCACTCGGGTTAAGTGCATGTGAGATTTGGTTGTGTATTCTCATGTGAAGGAGAAAGAAAACGTAAGACTTCATGGGCACGAACGCGTATGGCCAAGAATGCCTTCCTGGTGGGAGCAGGTTGGTGAGCTGCATCTTTGGGCGATCCCATCCGTGGCAGAACACCCTGGAATGTGCCTGCGTGAAGCTGTGGCAGCCGTGTCATCGCTAGGGACTGCCGTGACACACGGGTGCACCGTCAGCTCAGATCTCCTAGTGCGGCTGAGGGCAGGAAAATAGAGCAAGAAGCAGGGGAGGATAAAATGTGATTTCTGAAAGAGCTTCTGAGGAGGAACTTTTAAAGACATACTGTGTCGAGGCAGCCTGGCCGTTCCCTCTGTTGGGAAAAAAATATAAATGAATGAGTTTCCCTTCTCATTTCCGATGAATGCTTCCCAGGAGCACCAGATGCTAAGGTTCGATTTCCATCAAATGCCTTTCCAAAGTTAGGCCCAGGATTCACAGAGCCTACATTTTGAGTTTGCTTTATGATCGTTATCTGTTTAAATCAAGTTTCTGGAAGAGTCCATGCTGCTTAATCCTGGGTGTGTTTTATGGATTAGGAACCCAATCGTTTATGTGGTGCTGGCCACAAAGCTGGGCAGAGGTCGTGAGGTCTCACATGTTTTCAACATTTGGAAGTTTTAGTTGTGGGAATTGCATATGCATACAGAGTCGTACATGGCAACTGCTTCTATGAAACGGACTTTCAATTCTTGGAGTTGATTTAGCCTGCATGGAATTGGTTTTAAGCCATTTTTCATGGATATAGCCCTGAGTGTAGCTCTGTTGTTGCTGAGTGTGATCTCCTTCCCAGCTCTGTGGGTCTCTCTTGATGCAGCCGCCTGTGTTGCTGCCTTTGTGACATCCCGCCAGCTGCGTGGAATCCTGGCTGGACACTCTGGGCCTGGCGCGGCAGACGGGCTGGGGGCTGGCCGTCCAGCACTGCTCTGTCCTCCGTGTCTACCCCGTGGTGTGCTGGCCTTCACCAAGACGTTTAAACAGCCGAGATCCAGCTTCCGCCTGCTGATTAGCTCTTCAGATGAGGTCCGTGACCGAGGCTCAGCCAGGCTGGAGTCAGAAGCCAGGAACTGCGTCTGGACTTCCCGCGGGGGTGCAGGGCCCCAAGCTTCGGGTCTTCCCTCTTCCTCAGGGAGCAGCTGGGCTCAGAGCAGCACCATCGGAACAGTGCTGCTGTTGTAGGTGGCAGCTTACCCCACGACTCCACAACGCCAGCCCCAATGAGAAAAACTTAAAAAGAGGAAGCCTTTCATAATTTAACTACTTATTTATTTGAAAGACTGGATTGAGCAGATGGGGGAGCTTGACAGGTATTTTATCTCCCCTGGCTTATTTCCGCAACAGCCAGAGCTAGGCGGGGTTGAAGCCTAGGAATTCCTTGGAGGTTCCCACATGGGTGGTGGGGTTCAAGTGGTGCAGTCAGCAGGGAGCTGGGTTAGAAGTGGAGCAGAGCTCTGGGGCGTGCATTCAGACGTGGGATGTGGCTGTCACTAGTGGAGACGTAACACTGCACCACCTTCTCCCTTCCTGTGCTCTGAAGCACACTTCATTTAGTTTTCTTTTTTTAAAAAAAAATAACTATGGGCCTGGCACAGTAGCCTAGCAGCTAAAGTCCTCGCCTTGAACACGCTGGGATCCCATATGGGTTCTGGTTCTAATCCTGGCAGCCCCACTTCCCATCCAGCTCCCTGCTTGTGGCTGGGAAAGCAATGGAGGACAGCCCACACCTCGGGACCCTGCACCCATGTGGGAGACCTGGAGGAGGTTCCCGGATCCTGGCTTCCGATTGGCACAGCACCGGCCGTTGCAGTCCCTTGGGGAGTGAATCCTCAGATGGAAGATATTTGTCTTTGTCTCTCCTCCTCTCTGTTTATCTGACTCTGGGACAAAAATAAATAAATCCTAAAATTAAAAAAAAAACTGTGTTTGAAAGGGCACAAGAAGGAGGGCGCGGAGAGAATGCCCCCACGCGCCCACGCCTCCAGGAGCACACTGCCATCCAGCTGGCACAGAGCTGGGGTGGGCACAGAGCTGGGGTGGGCACAGAGCTGGGGTGGGCACAGAGCTGGGGTGGGCACAGAGCTGAGTGGGCACAGAGCTGGGGTGGGCACAGAGCTGGGTGGGCACAGAGCTGGGTGGGCACAGAGCTGGGGTGGGCACAGAGCTGGGATGGGCACAGAGCTGGGGTGGGGTGGGAGTGTGGAACACAGTCCGAGTCTACACTGGGTGGCCTGCTGCCTGCCGCCCCCCAGATGTGTCAGTAGGAAACCGGATTGGAACCCGGCAGCTAGCGCTCGAACCAGCACCCCCATGCGGAGTGGGGGTGGGCTAAGCAGTGCCACAGAGCCCACTCCCATTAAAAACCACAAAACGTGTTTATTAAGTTGAAAACCAGGGTTCTGGGGAAACATGCGCACACACACACACACTCACTCACTCTTCCCAAGTGGCACAGTCAGTGCAGGTGGGCTGGTCGGAAGCCAGGACCAGGAGCTTCTTCCGGTATTATTATTCTTTTTTTCTTTTCTTACTCCTGACCTGACCAGTGCTTGAGTGTCGCCTGCAGCCTCTGCTCGGCCAGGAGGCCCCGTCTGCATTTTCTCTCCTTGGTCCCACTGCCACAGTCTCTCCTGCTTCTTCCGTGCTCCTGCCCATCTGGCTTAGCGATGATGACACAGAAGCAGGATGGTGCTTGTTCCCTAGTGACTCGTGGCCATTTGGGCTCCCAACTGTGAGCTTTCCCCCTTTGCCCCGAAACTTTGATTTCCAGCTAGCTGCACGTCCCTGGAGCAGCGTCGGAGTGTCTGCCCATTTGTGTGGTGAGGGTTGGTGGAGAAGGTCTGTCTGGGAGAGGGAGGGGATGTGTTCCTGTGGTGGCTGGAGCCCCTCAGAGAGCTTGAGTGTTTGTGTGGTCCCCAGGTGAGCGGATCAGAGCTCCTTAGCTCAGATACCTGCAGTGTGACCACTCCGCCTTCTCCGGGTGAACGAGGGAGGAGTTGCCAGGGTGCCCGCTGGTATTGTGCTGTGGGCTTCAGGAGCCGTGAAAATTGAGCCTGAGAACTTGGAAAAGGTTGCAGATTTGAGTGTGGAAGATCCTGTTGCTTTCATCTGCATCTAAAGCCCTTGTGTGGATGGTTTGGAGAGTTCTTGGGAAGCCTCATTAAAACAACTCATTTTTTAAAATATGCTGCTACAGCTGTTTTTTTTTTTTGGTTTTTTTTTTGTTTTTTTTTTGTGACCTTGAGTGCTTGGGTCCTGTTTCCAGGGGAATTTGGGTAGTAGGCACTGAATCTTACACCAAGTCATTTATCTCCATTGTCAAGGGCAGGGGCTTTGTTTTTCCCTTCCTACCGACGAAGCCACTGCGGTCTGCATTTGTAAGAGTTCCAGAGACTGTGGCTGTGCCCACGCTGCTTGTCACCTTCGACCTTAGCGCAGCTCCTAGTCTTCAGCTTGGCCTCTTTTTCAGCTTTTAAAAAGTTTCTAGCACTTTTTTACAGGCTGTTTTTCTTAAAAGAATCATGAGAACTTCTTTGATTTTAGCAATTTTATGAAAATGTAAGTACAGTTAATAGCAAGGGAAAAGCATGTTTTGGTTTTTGAATGCCATTCGTCTTACTTTGGAAAGACTCGTCTTTTGAGTTTATGGTTTATTTTTATGCCTTTTAGTTTGTAAAAAGTTACTGACCCTAAGCATGGTAGCTTCTGTGATTTTCATGGTAAATCATAGTTAGTCCCTCCCTTTAGAGGAAAATGATTTATTCATTTGAAGAAGAGAGATCCATGTTCTACCTGCTGGTTCACTTGACACTGCAGTCAGAGCGGGGCCAGGCCAGCGCCCGGAGTCAGGGCTGCATTCCAGTCTGATGTGGAAGCAGGGTTCCAGGAACTCGGACCATCTTCTGCTTTTCCAGGTTCATCGGCAGGGAGTTGGTGGGGGAGCGGAGCAGCTCGTCCTCACACAGATCACACATCGTGTTGGATGCATGCGTGCAGGCAGTGAGTGAACCCGTTGCAGCACAGTGTTAGCCTCTGCTTCCATTTGGAAAGAATTGTAAGTTAGGATTTATACGTTATTCCTTCGGAAAAAGGAATAGAGGTGTTTGCTCTGTGCCATGCGTCTCTGCTACTCCATCAAGTGTGGTTTGGAGCAGGAATTTAACAGCTTTATGAGCCTGTAACCTATTGAGTCATTTTACATAGTTTGAACAGTATTTTAGAATGCCCATTTTTAAAAAGTAAAAGGTTTTTAGGGATATCTTTTTAAAAAAAAAAATTCTTGTTGATTTGAAAGGCAGAACAAGAGAGAGAGGGAGGAGAGAGATTTTCTATCTGGTAGTTTACTCCTGAAATGGCCACAACACCTGGGGCTGGGCCAGACCAAAGCCAGAGTCAGGAATTGTCTCCAGGTCTTGCCATGTGGGAGGCAGGATCCCAGCTTCGTGAGCCATCGTCTGCTGCCTTGCCAGGCTCTTGGTGGAGAGCTGGGTTGTAGGCAGCGCATCTGGGACTCCGACTGGAGCTTACACATGGGATGCTGGCGTTGCAAGCTGTGGCTTAGCTCTCTGTGCCACAGTTCCCGGCTCTCCGGGATTCTAAACAACAGAAATGGCCAGAGTCGCTGTGAGATTTGTACGGTGGTCACTGGTGTGGAAAGCGCCTCGCAGGAGCTGAGTAGCATTTGCGATTGTGTGTGGTTGTGGTGGCAGCCTGGGATCCTGTTCCTGTGTCTGCGGGGTCTCAGCCTCTTTACCCAGAGAGCCCCCGCACAGTTGACAGGTACACAACCTCTTCACTGCCACGTGCCAGCTCTGGAACTTGCTGCTGGCAGGTGCTGACTGGTGGTATATGTGACACCTGCTGAAATGTTGTCAGTTGCTGCGCTGTTTATACTTTGTATCTAAAAGTTAACAAAGCAGAACAAGGCTTGAGAGGGCCTGGAAGCTGTTGGCAGGTCTTGTGGCATGCTGGTGCTCCGGGCCCCGGCTAGCTGGCAAGCTGGCTTTTGGCCACCGCTTTCCTTCCTGTTTACTCTTTTCCTTCTGTGTTCTGATTGTTTCCTTCCCTCTGGAGTTATTTTCTGTTTCTTGTGGTCTCTGTTCCCGGTATGGAGAGCCCAGGAGCGCCCTGCGCTGTAGCCAGGCTCTGTGGAGCCACAGACAGGCTCCGCTCTAGGTCATATTCTCCAAGAGTCGTGTTGGTGCACATTTCTGAAGACTTCTATGAGGCTGCCTCACTCTGTTGCTGGAGCATGGAATTTAAAGATGGGTTTGTTTTGGTATGACAGCTTTTTAAATCCATGCATATATGAAGTTGTCAGAAAGTTAATAGAAAATGTGTGTTATCAAAACATTGGGGCAGAATGGTTTGAGCTGCCTCTTTTGCATGGTTGTCCCAAGCCCAGCCACTTCTGCTCTGATGCTGCTCCCAGCTCAAGTGCCTGGCAAGGAGTGGAGGATGACCCAGCTGTTGGGGCCCCTGCCACCGTGTGGCAGACGTGGGAGGAGCTCTTGGTTCCTGCCTTCAGCTTAACCCAGCCCTTGTTGTGTGTGTGTGTGTGTGTGTGTGTGTGTGTGTGTGTGTTTGTAGGGGGAGTGAACCTGGAGTTGGAAGATGAAAATCTCTGTCATTCTGCCTCTCAAATAAATAAGTAAATAACAACCAGCCACACGTAGATTTTTTTTAAAAGATAAATTTATTTGAAGGAGTGACAGAGAAGGGGAGAGAGAGATTGAGAGCTCTTCCGTCTGCTGCTTCAGGCTCCAAGTGGCCGCAGCGGCCAGAGCTGAGCTGGTGTGCAGCTGGAGGTTCTTCCCGGTCTTTAAAGTGGGTCAGGGCCCAGAAGTTGGACTGTCCTCTACTGGACTGGAAGAGGAGCATCTAGGACTTGAACTGATGTCCATATGGGATGGCAGCACCACAAGGGGAGACTTAACCTGCTATGCCACTGGTCCTGAAAACAGTGTGCATGGCCCTTCTGTGTCGTGTGCCAAGGGCAGAGCCATGGGAAAGTCTTCACAAGCTTTAAGAACTTGAGTGAAAAAATCAGCACTTAGGCCTTCCGGAACCTTTTTGAAGCACCTTTGCATGTTGCTGTAGCATGTTCTGTGCTGAAGAGCAAATCTGTGACGGGTGCAGTATTCCAGGCTCGTGATTGATGAATGAAGCTCATTCCCGCATGTAAGTGACGTAACCAAGCAGGCGGGGTCCCAGCATTCTTCCTACTGAGGAGGTTTTTGGCAAACAAAACACTACTTGGGTGAAAACAGTATTCTTTTTGGGGGAATAAGATTTATTTTTTATTTGAAAGATGATTTTACAGAGAGAAAAGGAGAGAGGAGAGAGCAATTTCTTCCATCTGCTGGTTCACTCTCCAAGTAGCTTCAGCAGCCGCAGCTGAGCCGGTTCAAACTGGGAGCCAGGAGCTTCTTCCGGGTCTCCCACACGGGTGCAGGGTCCCAAGGACTTAGGGCTTTCCCAGACCAGAAGCAGGGAGCTGGAAGAGAAGTGGAACATCTGGGATTTGAACCAATGCTCATGTGAGATGCTGACACCTCAGGCAGAGGCTTAACCTGTGATGGCTCTGAAAAGAATGTTCTTTTTTTTTTTTTTTGAAAATAATGTTCTTAAATTGCTTGAAAATTGTAACAGCGTTTGGTATTTAAAAAAAATAAGGTGTTAAATTTATATCAGCTACCTAACTATAACATTGTCAAGGATCAGACTAGAAGGACGCGCTATGTTATTGGATTCAATCATCTTATTCAAATGACTGAGTTAAATTTGCACACATCTCCCTAGGCCTTCCATTTCCTTATCCATTCTGCTTTTGGGGGGCAGAAGGCCGAAGTTACAGGACTGAGCACGAACATGGGGCGGGGTAGCAAGGAAGGCGTGTCCTGAGGCCTGCAGCTGGTTTGGGGTTAGATTCCTTGGTTGGGAGGCCTGGTGCCAGGTGTAACCTCGGGATCATAAGTGCTGGAGGGTTGTGTTTCAAGGCCTGTCTCCAGGTCCTCGGTGTCCTCGGGTGACAGCAAGGCGGCAGGTTCCGTGTCTTCCTGTCATGCAGCTTCAGCAGTGTTTTGAGTAAGCATCATTCCTGTTTTTCAACAGGCAGCACTTGGGGCTTTCATGAGTGAGTCAGATCTTCCAGCGTCCATCGTTGCTAGACACAGGCTGTTCCTGGCTGGCCGGCTGCCTCTGTTCAGGTGCCACCTGCATGGCGGGCACTCTCGCAGTAGGAGGTCTTCCCCGATTTGAAGCTGGTGAAAGGGGCCACGCTGGGATAGTCCACAGCCGACAATCAAGGCTCCTCCTGCTTGTGCTCTGAGTTGCACTGGCATACAGTAAGATGCTGGCTTCAGTTGCTGTGTTGAGGGTTGTGGGACAGGTCTCGGCGTGCTCAGGAGGATATGCCTGTGTTGTTCATGCAGAGGAAGGCAGCTGGTTGATCAAGGATGGGGGAAGAACTGAGAGCGGGGAGCTGTTCTCTAACGAGGCCGTCACAGGGAGCTCTGAAAGTGCTTGCACCTGCCAGTCAACTCCATGCTCATCTCCATAGGTGAAGAATGGCTTTGCTTCCAGGGAGCACCTTTTGGACCGCTGCTGGGTGCCTGGGACAGAGCCAGGTGCTGTGGGAGTTTGAAGGAGGGTGCTCAGCCCGGGCTCTTTCCGTGCAGGGGGCTTCTCTCAGCTGGGTCTGGCGTGGGGACTCTGATGGCCACCTGGTGCCAGCCTGAGTGCCTTGCAGAGTGCTCCAGGCGGAAGGAGGGATGCGGGCAGCACCGGAGCAGCAGGGCAAGGCCCCGAGGAGCTGTGGAGTTGGGTGGTTTTATTTTTCTTCCTGCTGATTCACTCCCCAGGTGTCTGCAATGGCCAGGGAAGGTCAGGCTGCAGCCAGGAGCTAGGAGCTTCCTCTGAGCATCTCCTGTGCTTGCCTGGGCCCAAGTGTATGGACCGTCTTCCCACTTCTTTCCCTGACGCACGAGGAGGGAGCTGGACAGGAAGTGGAGTGCAGGGACTTGAAACAGCACTCAGAGAGGATGCTGACTCAGAGGAAACAGCACTCAGTGCAGACAGCGGCTTAACCTGCTGGCCCATAATGCCAGGCCAAGAGCTGTGATGCTTGAACGCTCCCAAGGGCCAGGAATTAAGAGCTAAAGAATGCCTTTGAATGCAGGGGAAGGAGTTGAACCAGGTAAGGCTTAGGACTGGGAAATGACCACTGTTGGTTCTGTTTTCAAATATTTATTTTATTTAAAAAGTGAAACTAAACAGAGAGAAATAGATCTTCCTTCTGCTGGTTGACTCCCTGAAAGACGACAGTGACCCTCAGCTGTGCCAGGCCAGGCCAGGAGCCAGGAGTTTCATCCTTTCACCCATGGGTGATAGAAACCCGAGCATTTTGGCCGTCTTCTGCTGCCTTTTCCAGGTGTGTGAGCAGGAGCTGGATTGGGAGTGAAGTAACTGGGCCACAGACCAACGCTCATGTAGATATTGTTTTGCAGTTGGTGGCTTTATCCGCTGTTCCACAATGCAGGCTTCTTTATTTTAAAAGTTTTATTTTTGTGTTCATTTGAAAAGCAGAGTAACCTAGGAGTGGGGCAGAGAGGGTGAGCGAGTCCAGTAGACAGTGCCTCCCTGCGTGACTCACAGTCCAGATGCCCGAGATTGGCAGGGCTGGGCCGGGAGCACCCGAGTCCTCCAGCTGTTCCCTGCTGGTAGAAAGTGTCTCTGCGTGACTCACAGTCCAGATGCCTGAGATTGGCAGGGCTGGGCTGGGAGCACCCGAGTCCTCCAGCTGTTACCTGCTGCCTGCCAAGGGGCAGAAGTAGGATAGAACTGGATCCCAGCACACTGCTCTGGGCTGCTGGTGCCTCCGATCCTGACGTGCTACACCACAGAGTCCACCCCTGGTCTTCAGACAGTGAATGAATTGGTTGGGCTAGCAGACTGGAGGCATAGCAACTGGTCTGTATGTATGTGGAGTCAAATGTGGCCATAAACATAGCATCAGGAATCTCACTGTTTCCTCAAAGATACAATCTTAAGAACAAAGCATAGAAGAATGCAGAAAAGAGACTGGATGCGGGTTCAAAGTTTCCAGGAGGGCAGAAAGTGGGCTTGATTCTGCGCCTTAGGCAGAGGAATTGGGGGCTGAGGCACAGGCCTCTTCCCTGAACGTCCTTTTTGGATTTAGCCTTGGAGTTGTGTTTCTGCTTCCTTGAGCTGTGTGGACACCCATGTTGACGATGTGTGTTGTTGCTATGATTGGCCTAGTCGTGTGCAGGAGGACCCTTCCCCCGTATCTGGAGAAACTGGGAACAGGAGACAGGAAGTGGAGACAGTTGGGAAGGTTTTGGCCCTCTCTGTGAGGGTGTCCTGTTTACTCAGTCTTCCACGACAAGTCACGCTCACCATGACTTCTCAACCATGAACGTGACTCGTCCCGGTTCTTGAGGCTGGAGCAGCCAGTGCAGGGCACTGGCATTCAGTGTGGTGTTGTCAGCCTCCTGACTGCCATCTCCCATGTGGGCTGCTGCCTTCTAGGGCCTCCGGCAGGGAGCTAGGTCAGAAGTGGGGTGTGTGCCTCCCAACCTGTTGTCACAGTGCTTGCCCCTGAACCAATGGAGCAGTGGTGGTTAAGAGCTGGCCTTGTAGTGCGGGAAGTTGAGCAGTCGTTTGCAGTGCCGGCAGGCTTGGCTTCCCGTGGTACATCCTGGGAAGCAGCCGCTGGCAGCTCAGGTGCCGGAGCCCTGCCACCCACGCGGGAGACCTGCAGGGAGTTCCGACTGGCCGGCTGGGGTCTGCCCTGGCACTGGCTACTGCTGGTATCTGTCCCCCTTTCCTTCTTCCCTTGCTACTTCACGCTCTCCTTGTTTTTCCTAGCCCTCCCCACGCCCAGTGAAAGGAAGATGGGGAAAAATAAGAATCTTTCTGTTTTTATGTAAGACTGATTGATTGGAAAGGTAGAATTATAGTGAAAGAGAGAGAGAAAATGAACCGATGTGTTTCCATCTACTGGTTCACTCCCCAGGAGGGTAATGGCTGGAGCTGGGCTGGTCTGAAGCCAGGAGCCGAGAGTTTCTTCCGGGTCTCCCAAGCGGATGCAGGGGCCATCTTGTGCTGCCTTCCCAGCACATTCGCAGGGCGCTGGACTGGAAGTGGAGCAGCCAGGTCTTGAACTGACGCTCTGATACGGACTGCCATCACTGCAGAAGGTGGTATCGCCTGCTGTGCCACAGTGCTGGCCCTGAGAACTGGAGCTTTCCGATCCCGTTGTCAAGCCCTGGGGCAGGATGGAGGTTGTTTCCACTGCAAGGAGTTCTTTGACTGAGGACCTGGAGCCAGTGACCCTGAATCAGGGCGTCTTTATTGCCGTGAGGGCACATGCGATGGACCCTTCTCCTTCCTTGGGTGTTAGTTACCCAGATCCACCATTGCAGTTCATCCTGTTGCCACTAGTATGACTATGCCATTACTAAATGCGTGGAAGACGGTGGATGTGCTTGTCATTCCCGTTTTGTGGAGGGGCAGTCGGAGCTTAGGAACTCCCGGGCCCTGGAAGCCAGCAGCACAGCCAGTGAGCGAGCTGGAGCATCCTGGGTCTGTGCGACTGCCACAGGTGTCTGCCGTGTGTCTCAGCTTCCTGCTCCTGAAGTGTCCCCCTTAAACAGCATGGCTGCTTGGGGACACCTTCTCTCTCAAATGAGCACTCGGGAAATACGGTTATCATTAATAGCTGGACACAGAGAACTGCTAGGGTCGTTTCTTCTTGAAGATTGCTCATCTTAATCTATTCGGTCATATTCCGAAGCATTTCATCTGGAAGACAGCCACAAACATTTTAAAAATTGTTAAAATAAAGCCCTCAGGGATAACAGAAAGCTTGTTATCTTACCCACTTTCACCTCTTTTCCCATCATCGTTTGCTTTTCTCTCTAGATACATGGATATATGTGCAGGTATACGTACAAGTATGTGTGTACAGGCATGCATGTGTGTGTACACACCACACACGTGTCTATATGGGCACACACGTGTTTATACATGCATGTGTGCATACACCACACGTGTATGTTTATGGGTGTACACATGTATATATACATGTATGCGTATATGGACATGCATGTGTTTTCTGAATCATTTGAAGATGAATTTCATTTTTTCGCTCCTAGATATTTCAGAATATGTTTCCTAAAAATAGGTTTTTTCTCTTGCATAACAGCTACCACTTCATGAGTTTTGTTGTTGCATTCCATTTGATCTGCCTGCTGCTGTGGTGATTTGCTGGGTGGTCTGACAGTCCCTGAGCAGCTTCCCTGCGGGCCGAGAGCCCCCGTGTTGGTCCTCAGGTCTGGCACCCTCTCCCGTGGAACACCGTTGCAGTTGCCCTTCTGTCAGAATGGCACCTTTTAAAGAATGTGGAGCCGGGCCTCTCTGAGAAGAGAAAGGCCCTCCTTTCGTGTGGGGAATCGGCTTATTTGAGGAGCTATGGCTTCACGTTGTCTGGCAGAACGCCATGAAGGTGATGCCATGCCCTTGCTGGGTGTGGCATCTGGAGGGACCTGTCACCATCTGCCCTCTCCCGGGCTGTTAATTGTGCCACTCGGTGAGATCGTGTCTGATTTCTCCAGGGAGTAATTACCATAGTTTTTTTTGGTCCCATCTGTAACTAACATGCCGTTCATATGAAGTCATGTCAGTATGCAGATTTCCTGTACCGATTTACCTGTTACTGCCATGAGCTCAGATTTCTTTCTGCACTGGCTTACGCTTCCCAACAGTGTGTCATTGTTTTGTGTCCCTGTTGTCTTGGATGTAGCCAGTGGCGGCCCATCAGAGCTGCGCCTATTTCTTTGTTGCGCACCCATCTTTTTTTTTTTTTTTTGAGCACTCCATGTCTCACATCACAAGATGTTCAAGGATCATTTTGTAGCTTCCTGTCCCAGCATTGTGGTTCTTTTTATTGGAGTATGGTAACAGCAACTCTGTTGAAAGTGCTAGGAGTGTGTGTGTGTGTGTGTGTGTGCGTGCGCTCATGCGTGATTCATGCAGAGCGTAATTGCTGAATTCATTTAAAAAATCTGTATGTGTGTGGTCTCGGCACAGTAGCCCAACACCTGAAGTCCTCGCATTGCACACACTGGGATCCTATATAGGCACAGGTTCTAATCTCGGCAGCCCTACTTCCCATCCAGCTCCCTGCTTGTGTCCTGGGAAAGCAGTCGAGGACGGCCCAAAACCTTGGGACCCTGCACCTGTGCGGGAGACTTGGAAGATGTTCCTGGCTCCTGGCTTCAGATCAGCTCAGTTCTGGCCATTGCATCCACTTTGGGAGTGAATCACCGGATGGAAGATCTTCCTCACTGTCTCTTCTCTTCTCTGTTTATCTGACTTTCCAATAATAAAATAAGCAAATAAAATCTTTTTTAAAATGTATGGGTTTTTTTTTTTTTTTTTTTTGCTGTTGTTGTTTATTTTGTCTGAAGAACAGCAGAGAGGGAGACACAGAAAAGAGATCTTCGACCTGTTGGTTCACCTGGGACTGAGCCAAACTGAAGCCTGGAGCCAGGGGTCTCCCTGTGATTAGCAGGGCCCCAAGCACTTGGACCATTCTGCTGCCTTCCAGGTGAGTTAACAGGCGGCCTCAGGAAGAAGCAAGACAGCTGGGTTTTGACGCGGCAGCACGCTCAGGTGGACTGCAGGCTTAGGGAGTAATAACCCACTGTGCCGTGACACGCACAAGGACAAACAAGGGCAAAGATGAAGGGGGCTGCAGGCTCCTTGACCACGGACTTGGGGAGTTTTGCCATCTGCACACGTACTTTGAATATGGCACATAATGATATATCAAGGGTCAGTGGGACCGGGGAAGAGGTCCTGCCGGAAGCTCTGCCAGCACATCTCCGGCCGTTTGTGGCTTGGTTTTCCTTCTGTAAAAAAACTCGTTATCAGGTTAGTAATAATGAACCTCTGGTAACCTTGAACTCGCATTACTCACATTCAGATGTTGAGCAGATGGTTACTTGAAAGCTTTTTAAGAAACTAGGGCGTGGCATTGTGTTGTCAGTGCACGAGGCCTGTGTGTGAAGATGGGGGATGTGTCAGGGCTGCCCTGCCAGGACTGAGCCGTCCTGATGCCCTGCGCCCGGGGCAGCCCCTCTTCACTGTGTCCTCCTGGGAGCACCTGCCCTCGGCTGGGCACTCCCCATGCTTTCGTTTTTCTTTATACTTACATGGAAGTCTCACTCGTCGTTCTTGGTCTTACCTGCTTCGATCTTTATATACTGGAATCCTATTGCATTTTATTCTTCTGTTCCTCTCTGTTAGAAAAAAATTTAAGTCCCCATTTTTTTTTCAGATATATTTATTTATTTGAAAGTTAGAGAGAGAGAGAGTGGCAGAGAGAGGGAGAAAGGAGAGAGAGAGAAATATCTTCCATCTGCTGTCTCATTTCCCAAATGCTTGCCACTGCCAGAGCTGGGTCAGGCCTAGCCAGGGCTGTAGGGGTGCAAACACTGGGCCTCTGCTGCTGTCCCAGGTGCATTGGTAGAAAGCTTGGTTGTCAAAGGAGTAGCCAGGGTTTAACCGATGCTTTATGTGCTATGCCACAGGGTTGGATCTAAAATTTTCTTTTCAAAAACACCTTACTTGTTTATTTGGAAGGCAAAGTGAGCAAGTGAATGAGAGATGTCTTCCACCTATTGGTTCCTTCCCCAGACACCCAGCAGAGTGAGAGCTGGGCCAGACAGAAGTCAGGAGCCAGGGACTGCATCTGGGCTTCCCAGTGAGTGCCAAGGATGAAGGAGCGGCAGGGTATGCTTTAGCGGGAAGCTGAGTTAAAGCCAGAAGAGGACGGTCCCAGGCACTCACTCCCACTTGGGTGCTGCGCCACGACGCCTCACTGCGCTCACTGCTGCCCTCATCTGGAGCCAAGCGGAGCCTGCAGCCTGGTCTTTGGTTTTCTCTGCTGTCTGTTCCTCCACTCTGCTGGTGGCTAGTGTTTGAGTTCCGTGGTTTTTTCCACTGTGAATAACATGTCTGTAGACGCTTCAAAGCCTGCCTGCTGGGGTGTGTGCGGAGTTTCTCTGCGTTATGTTCTCTCCCTCTTACGTAAAGGGCTACTTGCATTCACTCACACAGCTGGAAGTGACGTGAGACCCTGCCTTGGGATTCCGGTCGTCTGTTGTACTGCAGTCAGTCTGGTCTGTGCTGAAAAGGAATGCTTTTCTTCAATATATACTTTGCATTTGAAAAATACTAAAAAACAAAAAGCCGTTGACGGATAGCAGGCCCTAACATCCCGCTCCATTTTGTAACTATAAGGTGTGGCGGTTTTGGCTTCCTCTAGCAAGTCTGTCTTCACCGCTCTGAACACAGGCTCCAGCCTCTTGCCTGAAGAGGATTTTCACTGTTCTCAGTGTGCATGCTTCTTTTGCTTTCTGAGCCCTGGTATGTAGCTCTATTTCTTCCTGCCTCTTTGCTTATTCTACTGCCAGTTTGATTTTCCGTGGTCCAGTTTCTAGGCGCGGGAGGTCCCCCGTTGCTGCCATCCGTGCGTGGGACGTCTCCGAGCGGCACCGATGGGGAACAGCAGTCCTAAGGTGCTACTTCAATGCTCGTGCTGGTTGCCCTTTCTAAACCGTCCCTCTAGCCTCCTCACCTGGGAGTGTGGTGGCCCGATCCATGGGAGCCCCCGTAGGTCATCCTGTCACCCCTGTGCCTCCTTCCGGAAGTCTGCAGCTCCCCACACACGGCATGGCCTGCACCTGTCACCCCTGTGCCTCCTTCCGGAAGTCTGCAGCTCCCCACACACGGCATGGCCTGCACCTGTCACCCCTGTGCCTCCTTCCGGAAGTCTGCAGCTCCCCACACATGGCATGGCCCGCACCTATCACCCCTGTGCCTCCTTCCGGAAGTCTGCAGCTCCCCACACACGGCATGGCCTGTGCTCTGGG